TTTCTGTACTGTATGGGCACTATATACAAGCTGTGTGTTCGCATATGCTCCACTGTGTGTACGCATGGGCAGTTTCTGTACTGTATGGGCACTATATACAAGCTGTGTGTACGCATGGGGAGTTTCTGTACTGTATGGGCACTATATACAAGCTGTGTGTTCGCATATGCTCCACTGTGTGTACGCATGGGCAGTTTCTGTACTGTATGGGCACTATATACAAGCTGTGTGTTTGCACATGCTCAGTGTGTAGTTTGTATGGAAGTCATATTGGTTACACTTCTTCCCAAGATGCAAGTGACTGACGTGTGCCTTGGGAGCTGCTGCCCGTGAAGAAGGAGAAACAGAGTCAAGAAGGCAGTGCAGGGGTGGGGAAGGAGGGGTGGTAGAGGGTGAGGTAACAAAAACCAAAAGCAACATTAACACAACCCTGTCAGAATCAGGGGACACTGGAGCCCTGGGGTAAAGTGAATGTTTTGGGTGAGACTCACAATGCAGGAATCCCTCTCATGAGGGCGGGGCCTTTTGCAGAGCCATGGAGAGTACTGACTGTGGCCCCTTTGCAGTGAGGAAACAGAAACCCGGGGGTTTGCGGGGGCGGGGGAGCTGCTCTTTGCCTCCCAGGACAAGGGCAAGGAAGGCTGGTTGTCATCTGAGTTCTTCGCATTGACCAGCCAGCCTGCCTGAGGCCTGGGGCATCTTCACTGGCCTCTAGCTGGTTCTCTGGAATCTTCTGGAATAAATGCCAGTTCTGCCCTACCACTGCAAATGGCAATGCTTGGCTTTTAATGAATGTAAATGACACATTTCCTTAATACACAGAGAGGTAAAAGACTGATTTATGCCTTTTCCACACATACAGGGACAACTTAATTTAATGGAGCTGAAGGGGGCGGGGCGGGGTCTTGGTGATGGCCCATCTGGTCCCACTCCTGTTTAGCACGGATCACTTCCCACTCATGACAGGGATGCTAACTAATTGTGAGTACTACTTCCAAACACCATAGGATGCGGTGTAATTACACTGTTCACAAAAGAATCCCAAACCTGGCTCTGTTTTGAATTTGATAGAACATAATGAGAAATCTCTGTGACAGATGACAACATTCTTCTTTCAATTAATGGGATACTTGCTTGAGTCATCCTCAGAACCGTTAGGCGCCGATTAGAAAGATTTATGGCTACAAACGACCTAAAACAAACATTCTCCAACTAGAAAGTGCGGCAAAATGATCTCATTTGAGCATTTGGGAGGTCACTCATTTGAATGAAATGGGCACAGGCAAAAGAATTCGCTAGGCTATTTTCCAGCCAAATCTGAAGGTCACATTGCTGCAGTACAAATCTCATCAGGCCATTGTATGCAGTGTTTCATTCATTCCTTCACTATACAGTCATTCATTCATTAAAACCACCCAAGAGAAGTATGCAACCTTGTTGGGAGCAAGGTGTAGGTTTGATGGTGTTACACTCCAGAGATGAACGGGAAAGGGACATGTCTCCCAAAAGGACATGGAATATTGGCAGGAGAACAGATGCAAAGCTAGCTGTGTGACTTTGGGTGAATCACTTAACTTCTCTGTGCTCCAGAATCCTACAAATAAGGAGAAATAATTCCTGCTGTCCAGGCCTCATAGCACTGCTCCAAGAAAAATGATGCTCACTGGCCATACAGAGCAGCACAGATGGAAAAGCCATTGATGTTAAAACGCTTACTGTCCGAGAGGGGAAATTTAAAGCACACAGAAACACCCACTGCACAGGCAAAAGGCCAATCTTGTTTTGATAGAGGTACACATTTGCTTATTGGCTCCAAGCATCCACTGAGCCCTAATAAGGTCCAGATGATGGGCTCAAACGAGGAACACAGTTGTTCGGAAGACATATGCGCTACTCTTTAAATGCTCACAGCACGGCTGCAGTTACCACCGTGGCGCTCACTCTTGCCGCCTGTTAGAACATTCATTGTGCCCTCTTGATTTCATTGCTCTTGGGAAAATCACCCAGACTCCCCCTGACCCTCCTCCCTCCTCCTCTCAGTTGAAGATGAGAATTGGAGAAAACAGTCTTTGGAGACACACAAGCCTGCTTGGACCCTGCCTGCTCAAGCTGGGTGAGCTGAGAGAGTTACTTGACATCTCTGAGGCTTGGTAGCCCCCTGGGCTCTGTCTGTTACAGGGAACCACACCAACCTTATGGTCTCTGGTTTGTGTGTTTGGTTGGTTTTTGGTTTTTCTCTGTGTGGCCCTGGATGTCCTGGAATTCGCTCTCTGGCTCAGAGATCTGTCTGTCTCTGTCTCCAATGCTGGGATTAAAGGCCTGTGCCACCACCATCAGCCAGATGAGCACATCCTAGATAAAGCCCCTGGCATACTGAACAGTCTCTGGCAGTTGCAACCATTGTTATCACCAGGGCCATCTTAATCCATCTGCCTCACTTCCTCCATTTATGGAATGACTTGAGTTTTGAGAAACTGTCTGGTTCAACAGAGTTGTATTTTCCTTTTTCAGTTACTGATTTGGGAGAAGAAAAATGAGTGTGGTTACAATGTTCCAGTTACTCAGAAGACAGAGTCCCCTTTCTTGGTGCTTAGTCTCTGAGGTAGATCCCTCCAATCCCCAGGACCCTTCTTCAACCTTAGGTTTTAGAATGCTTTACACTTCTCCCATCAAATGTGAAGACGCCATCCTTTTGATCTGGTCACTCTGGATTTAGTAATTCAGTTTCCAATTGTGAAAGGAAGCAAAACATTTAGATTCAGCTGACTCAAGACCTTCTCTCTGGACAGTTAACTATCTGCTCAACTTAATATAGTATTAGAAATAGCCATCTGTGTTACTTTCTGTTTACAATGTGAAAAGGCTTTCCAATGACAAACGTAAGTCACTGGAATCAAGTGGCCATTGTAAGAGCTGAGTCTTGGGTGGAGGCTGCTGGGACAGACCACAGTGTAGAATTAGTGGGTGAGCCTGATCCTTTGTAATGATGCTTGAGTCCCCATACAATACTGCACTTGTCAGCAACACCCCCAGGGACCCATCGTCAGAGTCCTGGAGAGGACCACAGAGCAGTAATCAAAACCACTGCAGGCATCACAAAAACGGCATGCCCAGAGGCACTAATGGCCTGGGTACCGTCAGTCAGTCAGTCAGTCTGTCTGTCTGTCTGTCTATTATTTACAGGACATTTGTCATTTGTTCACCCATTCAGTCTTCTTTGCTCTCATCATCAGGTTTCAAACAGCACATATTTTCAGTTTCCCTCAAACTCACAGTTCATCAGATTCTTTAATTCTGTGAACATTTGCTAAATGTTTGCTCATTTACAGAAGACCATGCCAGCACTGGAAACTGGAAATTGGTAGTCCTTCATAGGGTGGATTTCAATGCTCCCCCAGCCTTCACACTGGCTCTGCTTGCTCCTGTCATGGCTGCAGATCCACAGAAATGATTCCTATTGTCTTGTTCACGGGAGCACGTTCCTGCATTAAGGCGTGAGCTGACCCACATACAGGACTCCCCCAGATGAAGAATCATGTGTTCACATTACTCTACCCTGATAAGATGAGTGGGTGAATGAAGCACTTCATTAATTTCCCACACATGGGTGCCCGCCACTCATGTTTACAGGAAAAGCCTTTCAGATCACTCACTTCCACCACTGAGGAGGTTATTGGAGTGAGCTGCCTCTCACTCATAGAATATCGGGCCAAGGACTCAGAGTGAGGGAGCTGGCTGAAGGAGACTGTTGCTAAGGTTACATGCCATTCAGCGCGGCTGGAAAACAAGGGCTAGCGTAGGGTTTAACACGGGCTGTATTCACAGTCTGAGATGCCGAGGCTGGCGATGGAGGTGAGGCAGGGCAGTAGAAGGCGTGGAGTTTGTCCCGGCTGTGCTTGCCCGCTGCCGCTGGCCATGCCAGACCTCACGGCCTGTGCTCTCAGGTCACTCTGGTGAGCTTCAGTGCACGGACTTGATGCTCTCAGTCCACTCTGGTGAGCTTCAGTGCACGGACTTGATGCTCTCAGAGCAGTAGAGAGGCGTGGAGTTTGTCCCGGCTATGCTTGCCCGCTGCCGCTGGCCACGCCAGACCTCACGGCCAGTGCTCTCAGCCCACTCTCGTGAGCTTCAGTGCGCGGACTTGATGCTCTCAGAGCTTCACTTTCTCTCCCCCACGCCCAGCCCTGTCCTTCCTCCACTTCACACTAACTGAGACGTCCTGGGTCCTCTCCTAGTTATAATCTCCACGGTCTTACACTGCTATCTACTCCAGAAACCCATTCCTGACAGTGCATTCTGGCTCTGGATGTCTGGATGTCATTCATTCATTCACTCACTCATTCATTCATTCATCCATTCACCAAACAGCTATTAATTGCCCCATTGTTCAGCTTGATAGTATGCTCTGGGCACACAGGGTTGTAAAGACAGTTTCTTGCCTGCATGGAACTCAGTGACCGGTGAGAAAGGCAAGTAAGCTATCACCAATTCCATCCTGTCCAATATTTGTTCACTAAGTGCCTAACTATTCCGAAAGACCTCGTGATAGGATTCTTGAATACAAAGGAGGACCTTCCTTGGATTTCAGGTAAGATGGAAACTGTGGAAGATGTATTTAAAATGCTTGTTTGTTTGCTTTTCGGTTTTTGCTTTTTTGAGACAGGGTTTCTCTGTGTAACTCTGGCTGTCCTGGAACTCACTCTATAGACCAGGCTGGTCTCAAGCTCCACCTGCCTCTGCCATCTGAGTGCTGGGATTAAAGGTGCATGACACCACCGCCTGGCTTTAAAATGCATTTTAAGCTACACATATTCACTAGCATCACAAGACAAACAAGTTGACTAGGTTAGGTCAAAACCAGTGTTATTATTTTGGTACCTCCACTCCCTTAGGCAAAGGGAGAGACGGCAGAGAAATAAAATTTAATCTGAGGTTCCAGGCAACTGCTGCCCAAGGATGAATAGTGTTCTCCAGACTGGCATGTTTTTCTGTGTCTGCAGGAACCCTGGCTGGGAGTGACAGAGGAGTCCATCATTCCTGTCTTGTTTATATCCTTCCCTTTTGTCCATGCTACCCAAGAAGATGCTCTTCTCTCAGAATCTCAGCTTTGCCTGGCGGGTGCACAGTAGGGAATGAGAAGGCAGGTAAGGAAATATTCTTCCATCTAGGTAAGCTGTGAAGTGAAGTGTATTGATGCCTTGTCATGACATCCTGTGGAAATCAAGGGCAGAGCTTTCTCCATGGCCATTACTCGTGTTTCCTTGTATTTCTGAAACTGCCCAGAAATGGGTGTCCTAAAACTCTGTCCGTTCACTTCCCCACACTGCGCTAGAGGACTGTATTTGTTTACTAGTTTGTTTAGTGGGGGAATTATGTTATTTTCTGTGTCCTGCTGTGTCACACTGCATTATTAAAGAAGATGCAGTCAGAATGAACTAAGTGGACAGGGAATGTCTGGGAAAGGGGCTGTGTGTGGTGGGGGAGGCAGAAGGAGACCAGACTTGTGATGCGTGCTGGTGGCTGCAACAGAAAAGGAGACCAGAGTTGGGAGGAGGCTCAGACTGCAGCCAGACTGATTCTCAGCCGAGCCAGCAGGGAGCAGAGGGTGCCAAGCTGGGCAGGTGTGGCTCTGTCCTAGGGTCTTATCATGCTTGAGTATGGTCAGCCTATGGAGAGTAGCGCTTCAGCACAAATGCCAAATTCTCTCCAGATGTGCATAGCTGGAGGCCCCAGGTCTACTCTCCTCATAGTACGATATCTGTGTGGACCGTGTCCATGGCAATAGTGGGTTGAATAAGAATGGATTCCACAGGCTCACATATTTGAATGCTTAGTCACCAGGGAGTGGAACTTTAGAGAAGCAGTAGGAGGTGTGGCCTTGTTGGAGTAGGCATGGGAAGGAAAAAGACCCAGTCTCTCTCTCCCCCTGTGATTCAGGATATAAAGCTCTCAGCTACCACTCCAACCTCATGCCTGCCCAAGTGCTGCTATGCTCTCTGCCATGACGATAATAGATTGAGCTTCTGAAACTGTAAACCAGGCCCCAATTAGATGCTTTTTAAATAAAAGTTTTGTTACTCATGTTGTAAGACAATGTCTATGTCCTCCATTTCCAGTGCCGCAAAAGTTCCTTCTCCCGTGTGTGTTCTTCAAGTAGCTCCCTTCCAGGTCCCGAGGACTTCTCTTCCTGAAAGAAACAGAGAGGTGAGGAGCTACATTTCTGCAGCTGGCCATGTCTCCGCCTAATTCGCTCCTTCTCAGTGTCACCTCAGCAGATCACGATAGCCGCCCAGTGAATTGACTCTACACTCCTATTCCTGCGTGATCTGAGCCCCCAGAACACCTGGAGAAAGAATGCTAAAATGTGTTTGCTTCCCCCCCCCCCACTGCAGCTTTCCTTCCTGATAACCAGGGACAATTACCTCACCTCTTCTGGCTTGCTGATCTCTTGGAAACAGAAGTCCAAAGTTCCTCAGTGGCACCTCTAACCTGTAGTTCAATAAAACATGTGATAATTGGCTGCCTCTCTGAGACTAGAACCTCTAACCCTGCAAGGCTCACAATTGTGAGGTAAAGTAAAAAGTCCCTGTGTGTCACTGGGAGTGACAGGAAAGGGGGGGTCACCTGTATTTTCAGATTTTGGCTCCTGGATAGTTCAAAGTTAGTCAGACTGTGTTATAGCACCAACGTGGATATTTAGCACATCCCTGAGACAAAACCAAATAAATGCTGTTACATAGTCTGTGGAAACACAAGCTGTCTCTGATTCTACTTCTAGGTAAACTAGAAAAGAATGCCAAATCAGTAGCCACATACTGTGTCCCTGAAGCTCTATTGAACATTATAGTGAGATACTGTGTCCAACACCTGTAAACAGGTCTACCGCCTCCTTTGGCCTGTGGTGATTTGTCGCCATCCTCTTTGATCTGTCTCCTGTCTTCAGAGGCCAGACAAATGACTCAGATGGAGATAGGGTCAGAACATTAATTGTGCTTGAACCGTTTAGATCTTATTCAGGGATCTCTGTCTCCCCATGCTCTCAGCTCCCCATCTGCTGGACCATGTCACAGGGACCAGAGCTATAGTTCCCTATGCTCAAGAGTCTATGGCTGTCCTCCTTCTGACATGGCCAGTCATCACGGTCATTGTGTCCACCTGACCTTGATGACGGCAGACACCCATTTCCGTCCTTGCTCCTAGCTCTCCCTGCCACCAGTGGCTTGGGAGTTCTTTCTCAATGGCCCTAACACATCTTTTTCTTCTGGTCTCTGTTTGCAATGCACTCTTCAGCTGGGTCTTCTGCCCTCACATACAACGTTGACTTCAGCTGTCCCTCCTCCCAGGATGGCTCGGGAGAGTCCCCTTTTCCCACTGTTAACCATCACTTTCTTTAGTCCTACCCATGAACTTCCCTCCATACTCTGAGGTTCTTCTTGCCCATGTCCTGAGGAAGTGCGTAGTCAATGAATTAGCCACAGCTACTTCTTACCTTCTCTGGTCTCATGGCCCGTCATCTAGTTGGACCTTACTACTGCAAAGGGGAGACAAGGAACCTAGCAAAAGTCTGGCAGCCTATGGGATGTCTGCAGTTGCTCACTTTGCTGCTTGGGTTTAACTTCTGTTTTAACAGGTGGCTTATGCCTTCCTGCATCTCTTGAAGCCTGCCAAATGTACTTTTGAAAGGATAGTTAATAGTTGGCATAGGAACCAGCATTTGAAGATTAAGACCATGGTTTCTGAGGCAGCCTCACTGCTATCTCCCCTAAAGCGTTCACCCAGAACAGGCTGGGCCTCCAGAATCTCCCTCAAGCAGGTAACCAAATGAATCTTGTTTTGCATAGAAATGAAATATCGCCCCCAGGGATTTCCTACTAGGGCTGTTTTTCAGTTCTGTTAGCACATCTTGGCCCTCAGGAAATCCCAAATGTCAACACATCACTTCTTAAGCAGGAGAGCTGGCCTCTCTCCTAACTAGATGGCCCACAGGAAACAGCGAGGAGGGGTGACTTTCAGGGGAACTTGTACTAGCGATGCTTTAATTTAGCGTATAGGAATTTTATTTATACACCTGATGTATAGTCTAGAAGCACCTTTCACAAGAGCAGGGGTATTTCTGTCTGTATAAACTATATCCCTGGAACAGTGCCTCATCTATAGCAGATACTCAAGATTTTTTCATTTCTCTTTATTTTAAGAATTAAATAATAATTTGTATGTACTAAAATGCAGAGATTTCAGATGTATGATGAATTTTGGCCAAATGTATATATGCATCTAATCCAAATGCAAATCAAGATGAGACTATTTCCATCACCCTACATGTTTTCTAAGGTCACAGCTGACCTCCTTATTCTTTAGAACATATCTGCAATTAAGATTTTATCATGGTGGATGGCAGGGGTGTATACTAATTAATCCTAGCACTGGAGAGGCAGAGGCAGGTGGATCTCTGTGAGTTCAAGGCCAGCCTGGTCTACAGAGCAAGTTCCGGGACAGTCAGGGCTGTTACACAAAGAAACCCTGCCTAAAAAACAAAACATCAACAACCAAAAACAAAACAAAACAAAAAATCAGATTTTGTTACTGTGGATTACTGTGGAGTTTATATAAATTAAGCCATGCAATATGTACGTCCACTTTTATTTATGACTTTTGTTCAACTTGGCATTTATGATCTTCATCTTTCTTGTGGGTTTCAAGGATGCATTCTACTTATGCTGAAGAGGTTACGTTTGTGAGTACATGGCAACTTGTGCATTCTGTTGGCAGATAGTTGTGTACTGACTTTCTTGGTCCCCATTACAGCAGTCAGGAATATTCCTGAATAAGCACTTATGTAGGCAGATGCTTTCCTTTCTCTGGGTAAAGACTGAGGAATGGACTTGCTGGTGTAGGATAGTTGCACATTTAACTTGATGAGAACAGGACAAGTGATTTTTAAAAGTAGGGATTATTCTAGTGATATTTATTTTCAGTAATTTTGATGGTGTTAATCATTCTAATTTTAGCCCTTCTAGTAGGTGTGAAATATATTCAGTGTGGTTTTAATTAGCATTTTTGAGGTGATCAGTAACCTTGGAATTATTTTCATGTGCGTTCTTAGCTTTTATGTATCTTGTTTTGTGGAGTATCTGCTTAATTCTGAGCAATTTTTATATTGTTTATATTTTAATAATTTTCTTATTTTTGAGAACCCCATACATGAGCACCGCATCTACGTTATTCTCACTCCCCCTCTCTGCTCTCCAATTCTTTCCCTTTCTCTAAATTTATGTTCTTTTAAGAATTACATTGTTACACACACACACACACACACACACACACACACACACACTTTTTACACATATACATGCATGTATAACCCATCAAACCCATTTAGCTTTGCTCATATGCACACGTGTCCAGAGCTGACTACTTAGAACTGGATAACCTCTGTAGAAGAACACATCCAGAGGAGACTAAATCCCCCCTCTGTCCCCAAACAATGACCATGCGAAGCTTCCTATCCAGGGGTGGGACCATGTGGAATTCCTCTGTCCACATTGGCATGTCAACCAGGCAACCATATGGACAGGCTCATGGGTGCACCTTCCTTGTCATATATGGGAGACACTATTTCACAGCAGATGTTCTGGGCTTCTGGATCTTACAAGCTTTCTGTCCCCTCTTCTATGATTTTCTCCGAGTCTTAGGAGTAGGGAGCATATTGCAAAATGTATCTGTTTTAATTAGTGGTACTAATGAGCTCTTTAAATATTATAATTATAAATATATTTTCAAAAAGTAAATACAGCATATCAAATGTGGAGTCTAGCAGAAGTTTTTGATGTTGATGTCCACTTATAAATTAATTTTTAATAGTTATGCTTATATAACTTTTTGGATAAAACAGAACATCCTCTTTGGTTGCCAAGAGAATTTCTATGATTTTTTAATGTCAAATTTAAACTTAGGGCAATGGTCTATCTCAAGCCAATTCTTCTATACGGTGTGAGGTAGGAGCTAAGGTGAGTTTCTGCTAGCCAGTTGATTACTTATTCCAGCATCATTTGTGAGCAAGACTTCCTCTTCCTATTGAATTGCTCTGGCTGTTTATGGAAGACAAAGTGACTGTATAGATATAGACCCACAGCTGAACTCTAGCTTCCATGCTGTTCTATTTGTACTAAATACCAATGTCCAGGACAGATTCCAAAGCTAAATAAAGAAACACTGTCTCAAAACACCAAAAACCAACCAACCAACCAAACAAACAAAAAACCCACTGTCCTAATTTATCTAACTTTGTTACTTTTTTTCCAAGATTGTCTCTACTTTTTAACCTTTTTATTTGGTCTAAGATTTAGTGTTCACAATTTCGATCAGAAAAATAAAATCTACTAGGTTTCCATAGGGATTACATTGCCCCTCAGTTGGGAAGATGGTAGTTTAGGGTATTGAGTCTCTTCATCTAGGAATACAATGCAGGAATACAATGCATCTCATCTAGGAGCACAATGTATCTCACCTAGGACTACATCTAGGAACACAATGTATCTCACCTAGGACTACAACCTATCTTTCCAGGCCTTTATGTCTCCTTCCTTTGTTTCAGTGTTACAGTTTTTAGCATAGAGGTTTTACACTTCCAAATAGTTATCCCTAGTGTTTTACGCTTTGCAAGACACTATAAATATAAACTTTCATATTTCACTATTTATTCCCAATGTAATTCACAACATTGGGTTTTGTTTTACATCCTGATTTTGTATATTGTGACTTTGTTAAATTCCTTCATTAGTTTTAATAGTTTGGGATAGAAGTCAGATTTGAAGTGCATACAGCTATCTCATCCTGAAGGAATATATTATTTCTTTCCTAATCCTTCAATCATTCATTTCTTTTTACAACGATACAAACCTCTAGTGTAACGTTGACTACAAGGCAGTATTCTATTCTGGAAAACATGTCCTGACTTTGCTGCAGGTCTTAGGCAGGAAGCAGTCACTATCTTGTTACTATTGTTATCAAATTCGCTTAGATATCCTGTTGATGGTCTTCATCAGAGTGAAGAAATTTCCTTCTGTGCATTGGCTGTTCTGACTTTTACTTTCATTGTGAGGAAATATTGGAGTTTGATAAAAAAAAAGTTTTTGCGTCTGATGAACTAATCACTTTCATTAGTTCTGTTAATGAACTGACTTTCTCTTACTGATTTCCTAACAGTAAACCAGCCTTGGCTCCCTGGACCAGCCAGCCCACTTAGTCTTGCTGCACCATCCTCTTTATATGCGGTTCCTTCATTGTGGTGTTGAGAAGGATCTCCGCGTTTAGGATTATGAGGACTATCGATCTGTAATCTTTTTCTTCAGTGTCCTCATCAGCCTTCGTGTGGTATTATGAAGTATTCCCTTCTCATCTTTATTCTGACAGGTAATGTGAGGTTGATATTATTTCTTGGTTAAATATTGAATAGATGTCACCAAGGAAACCAGGCCTACTAGGGTTTTCTTTCGGTAAAGATTATTATGAATTAAAT